GGGGGCTCACCTTGATGACCAGGTAGCACAGGGGGGTTTTGGGGGGGTTTTGGGGGGGTTTTGGGGGGCTCACCTTGATGACCAGGTAGCGCGGGGGGTCCCGGGCCATGCGGGTGAACTCGTTGGCCAATTCCTTGAAGGTGGGACGGATGTTCTCATCGATCATCCAGCCTGGGGGGACACCGGGGGACACCGGGGGGGACACGGGGGGACATGGGGGGACATTGGGGGACACGGTCACAGGGATGGGGACATTGCCAGGACCCTGCCCAGCCCTGGGGACACCCCTGGGACACTCTGGGGACACCCCGGGGACACTCTGGAGACACTCTGGGGACACTGGGGACACTGAGGACATTTGAGACACTTTGGGGACACTCTGGGGACACTGGGGGACACTCTGGGGACATTGGGGACACCCTGGGGACACTGGGGACACTCTGGGGATATTGGGGACATTGGGGACACTTTGGGGACACTCTGGGGACACTTTGGGGACACTCTGGGGACACTGGGGACACTCTGGGGACATTGGGGACACTCTGGGGACACTTTGGGGACATTTGGGACACTTTGGGGACACTCTGGGGACACCCTGGGGACACTGGGGACACTCTGGGGACACTCACACTTGACCATGACCATGTAGACGTCGATGGTGCAGATCTGGGGCTGCGACAGCCGCTCCCCCTTCTCCAGCAGATCCGGAACCTCGGCCAGGCGGATCCCGGAGTACGGCTCGGCCCCGAACGTCATCATCTCCCACAGGGTCACCCCTGGCAGGGGACAGGGACATCAGGACACCCAGGGGACACCCAGGGGACACCCAGGGGACACCCAGGGGACACCAGGGACACACCACAGGGGTCATCATCTCCCACAGGGTCACCCCTGGCAGGGGACAGGGACATCAGGACACCCAGGGGACACCCAGGGGACACCCAGGGGACACCCAGGGGACACCAGGGACACACCACAGGGGTCATCATCTCCCACAGGGTCACCCCTGGCAGGGGACAGGGACATCAGGGGGACACCAGGGACACACCGGGGACATCATCTCCCAGAGTGTCACCCCTGGGGTGGGGACAGGGACATCAGGACACCGGGGGGGACACTGGGGACATCGGGGACATCATCTCCCACAGGGTCACCCCTGGGGCGGGGACAGGGACACCAGGACACCCAGGGGACACCAGGGACACACCACAGGGGTCGTCATCTCCCAGAGTGTCACCCCTGGCAGGGGACAGGGACATCAGGACACCGGGGGGACACCCAGGGGACACGGGGGACACACCACAGGGGACATCATCTCCCAGAGTGTCACCCCTGGGGTGGGGACAGGGACATCAGGACACCAGGACACCCCAGGGGACACTGGGGACACCCCAGGGGACACCCCAGGGGACACCAGGACACTGGGGGACATCCCAAAGGACACCAGGGACACCCCAGGACACCCCAGGGGACACCCCAGGTGACACGGGGGACACACTGGGGACACCCCAGGTGACACCAGGGGACACCAGGGGACACTGAGGACACACTGGGGACACCAGGGGACACCGCAGGACACCCCAGGTGACACCAAGTGACACACTGAGGACACCAGGACACCCCAGGGGACACCAGGTGACACCGGGGACACGGTGTCCGTGCTCACCGTAGCTCCACACGTCGCTCTGGTGCGTGTACCTGCCGAAGTGAATGCTCTCCAGGGCCATCCACTTGATGGGGGTCTGCGGGAAAGGGACACTGGGGACACCGGGGGACACCGGGGGACACCGGGGGACACCGGGGGACACCGGGGGACACCGGGGGACACCGGGGGACACCGGGGGACACCGGGGGACACCGGGGGACACCGGGGGACACCGGGGGACACCGGGGGACACCGGGGGACACCGGGGGACACCGGGGGACACCGGGGGACACCGGGGGACACCGGGGGACACCGGGGGACACCGGGGGACACCGGGGGACACCGGGGGACACCGGGGGACACCGGGGGACACCGGGGGACACCGGGGGACACCGGGGGACACCGGGGGACACCGGGGGACACCGGGGGACACCGGGGGACACCGGGGGACACCGGGGGACACCGGGGGACACCGGGGGACACCGGGGGACACCGGGGGACACCGGGGGACACCGGGGGACACCGGGGGACACCGGGGGACACCGGGGGACACCGGGGGACACCAGGGAGACGGGAGGGGACAGTGGGGGGGACAGTGAGGGACACTGGGGGACACCAGGGGGACATGGGGGGACACTGGGGACAGTGAGGGACACTGGGGGACACCAGGGGGACATGGGGGGACACCGGGGACAGTGGGGGGGACACCAGGGAACAGCATTTGGGGACATTTGGGGACATTTGGGGACATTGGGGGACATTGGGGACATTTGGGGACATTGGGGGACATTTGGGGACATTTGGGGACATTGGGGGACATTTGGGGACATTGGGGGACATTTGGGGACATTTGGGGACATTTGGGGACATTGGGGGACATTTGGGGACATTTGGGGACATTTGGGGACATTTGGGGACAGCATTTGCCGTCCCCCCCCCACCTTCAGCTCGTTGTAGAAATATTTTTTATCGTCGGGGTAGAGCAAATCCGCGATCCCGAAATCGGCCACCTGCACCTGGCTGGGGGATTTGAGCAGCACGTTGCGAGCAGCCAGGTTCCGGTGCACCATGCGGTGTTCCTCCAGGTAATACATGCCCTGCAAAGTTCCAGAACCTTCTCAGAAAATTGGGATGAAAACGGGAATTTTCGGCTTTTTTTAATCTGGATTTGTTATTTTTTTATATATTTTTTATGGGTTTTTTATGGGTTTTATTTGGGTTTTTTAATGTATTTTTTATGTATTTTTTATATTTTTATTTGGGTTTTTTAATGTATTTTTAATGTATTTTTTATATTTTTATTTGGGTTTTTTTATATATTTTTTATATTTTTATTTGGGTTTTTTATCTATTTTTTATATTTTTTATTTGTTTTTTTTAATATTTTTATGTATTTTTTATGTTTTTTAATTGGGTTTTTTAATATATTTTTAATGTATTTTTTATATTTTTAATTGGGTTTTTTAATATATTTTTATGTATTTTTTATATTTTTATTTTGGTTTTTTTAATATATTTTATGCATTTTTTTATATTTTTTATTTGGCTTTTTAACATATATTTTACGCATTTTTTTATATTTTGTATTTGGCTTTTTATATACTTTTAATATTTTGTATTTATTTTTGATTAATGTATTTGATGTATTTTTTCGATTTTCTATCTTCATTTGATGTCCACAGATGATTATTAATTTTTAATATTTGAGGTATTTTTTGGATTATTTCTATTTCCAGTGGCCCTGGCTGGGGGATTTGAGCAGCACGTTGCGAGCAGCCAGGTTCCGGTGCACCATGCGGTGTTCCTCCAGGTAATACATGCCCTGCAAAGTTCCAGAACCTTCTCAGAAAATTGGGATGAAAACGGGAATTTTCGGCTTTTTTTAATCTGGATTTGTTATTTTTTTATATATTTTTTATGGGTTTTTTATGGGTTTTATTTGGGTTTTTTAATGTATTTTTTATGTATTTTTTATATTTTTTAATTGGGTTTTTTACTATATTTTTAATGTATTTTTTATATTTTTTATTTGGGTTTTTTAATATATTTTTAATGTATTTTTTATATTTTTATTTGGGTTTTTTTATATATTTTTTATATTTTTATTTGGGTTTTTTATCTATTTTTTATATTTTTTATTTGTTTTTTTTAATATTTTTATGTATTTTTTATGTTTTTTAATTGGGTTTTTTAATACATTTTTAATGTATTTTTTATATTTTTAATTGGGTTTTTTAATATATTTTTATGTATTTTTTATATTTTTATTTTGGTTTTTTTAATATATTTTATGCATTTTTTTATATTTTTTATTTGGCTTTTTAACATATATTTTACGCATTTTTTTATATTTTGTATTTGGCTTTTTATATACTTTTAATATTTTGTATTTATTTTTGATTAATGTATTTGATGTATTTTTTCGATTTTCTATCTTCATTTGATGTCCACAGATGATTATTAATTTTTAATATTTGAGGTATTTTTTGGATTATTTCTATTTCCAGTGGCCCTGGCTGGGGGATTTGAGCAGCACGTTGCGAGCAGCCAGGTTCCGGTGCACCATGCGGTGTTCCTCCAGGTAATACATGCCCTGCAAAGTTCCAGAACCTTCTCAGAAAATTGGGATGAAAACGGGAATTTTCGGCTTTTTTTAATCTGGATTTGTTATTTTTTTATATATTTTTTATGGGTTTTTTATGGGTTTTATTTGGGTTTTTTAATGTATTTTTTATGTATTTTTTATATTTTTTAATTGGGTTTTTTACTATATTTTTAATGTATTTTTTATATTTTTTATTTGGGTTTTTTAATATATTTTTAATGTATTTTTTATATTTTTATTTGGGTTTTTTTATATATTTTTTATATTTTTATTTGGGTTTTTTATCTATTTTTTATATTTTTTATTTGTTTTTTTTAATATTTTTATGTATTTTTTATGTTTTTTAATTGGGTTTTTTAATACATTTTTAATGTATTTTTTATATTTTTAATTGGGTTTTTTAATATATTTTTATGTATTTTTTATATTTTTATTTTGGTTTTTTTAATATATTTTATGCATTTTTTTATATTTTTTATTTGGCTTTTTAACATATATTTTACGCATTTTTTTATATTTTGTATTTGGCTTTTTATATACTTTTAATATTTTGTATTTATTTTTGATTAATGTATTTGATGTATTTTTTCGATTTTCTATCTTCATTTGATGTCCACAGATGATTATTAATTTTTAATATTTGAGGTATTTTTTGGATTATTTCTATTTCCAGTGGCCCTGGCTGGGGGATTTGAGCAGCACGTTGCGAGCAGCCAGGTTCCGGTGCACCATGCGGTGTTCCTCCAGGTAATACATGCCCTGCAAAGTTCCAGAACCTTCTCAGAAAATTGGGATGAAAACGGGAATTTTCGGCTTTTTTTAACCTGGATTTGTTATTTTTTTATATATTTTTTATGGGTTTTTTATGGGTTTTATTTGGGTTTTTTATATATATTTTTTATGTATTTTTTATATTTTTATTGGGTTTTTTACTATATTTTTTATGTATTTTTTATATTTTTAATTGGGTTTTTTATATATTTTTAATGTATTTTTTATATTTTTATTTGGGTTTTTTTATATATTTTTTATATTTTTATTTGGGTTTTTAATGTATTTTTTATATTTTTTATTTGGGTTTTTTAATATATTTTATGTATTTTTTATATTTTTAATTGGGTTTTTTAATATATTTTTTATGTATTTTTTATATATTTTATTTGGGGTTTTTAATATATTTTTAATGTATTTTTTATATTTTTAATTGGGTTTTTAATATATTTTTTATGTATTTTTTATATATTTTATTTGGGTTTTTAAAATATTTTTTATGTATTTTTTATATTTTTAATTGGGTCTTTTATATATTTTTTATGTATTTTTTATATTTTTAATTGGGTTTTTTATATATTTTTAATGTATTTTTTATATATTTTATTTGGGTTTTTTTTATATATATTTTATGTATTTTTTATATTTTTTATTTGGGTTTTTTATATATATTTTATGTATTTTTTTATATTTTTAATTGGCTTTTTAATATATTTTTAATGGGGTTTTTTATATTTTACTTGGGTTTTTTATATATATTTTTATGTATATTTTATATTTTTTAATTGGCTTTTTAATATATATTTTATGTATTTTATATATATATATTTGGGGTTTTTAAATATATATTTTATGTGTTTTTTTATATTTTGTATGTTTTATACATTTTTACGTATATTTTTTTTACATTTTGTATTTATTGTTTTTTAATATATTTTATGTATTTTTCTACTTTACATATTTATTTTATATATATTTTTCTTTTTAATATTTTATATAGGTTTTGTATTGTTTAGATTTTCTATTATGTGTATATATATATAGATATATTATTATTATTATTATTATTATTATTATTATTATTATTATTATTATTATTATTATTATTATTACTATTATTATTATTATTATTATTATTATTTTACATATTTATAACTCATTTTTTAGCACCAGAAAAATCCCTTCACCACATCCAAATCCTCAATTTTTAGGACCAGAGAAAAACCCTTAATTTGAATTTTTAAGACCAGAAAAACCCCTTTAACCACATCCAAATCCTCAATTTCCACGACCAATTTAACTCCAAATTTTTAGGACCAAAGACCCTTCACCACTTCCAAATCCTCAATTTTTAGGACCAGAGAAAACCCTTAACCAGGTGCAAAATTTGAATTTTTAGGACCAGAGAAAAACCCTTAATCAGGTGTGAAATTTGAATTTTTAGGACCAGAGAAAAACCCTTAATCAGGTGCCAAATTTGAATTTTTAAGACCAGAAAAACACCTTTAACCACATCCAAATCCTCAATTTCCACGACCAATTTCCCTCCCAATTTCCAGGAGCGGAGAAATCCCTTCACCACTTTTGACTCCAAATTTTTAGGACCAAAGACCCTCATCCACATCTAAATCCTCAATTTTTAGGGCCAGAGAAAAACCCTTAATTTGAATTTTTAGGACCAGAAAAACCCCTTTAACCACATCCAAATCCTCAATTTCCACGACCAATTTAACTCCAAATTTTTAGGACCAAAGACCCTTCACCACTTCCAAATCCTCAATTTTTAGGACCAGAGAAAACCCTTAACCAGGTGCAAAATTTGAATTTTTAGGACCAGAGAAAACCCTTAACCAGGTGCAAAATTTGAATTTTTAGGACCAGAGAAAAACCCTTAATCAGGTGTGAAATTTGAATTTTTAGGACCAGAGAAAAACCCTTAATCAGGTGCCAAATTTGAATTTTTAAGACCAGAAAAACACCTTTAACCACATCCAAATCCTCAATTTCCACGACCAATTTCCCTCCCAATTTCCAGGAGCGGAGAAATCCCTTCACCACTTTTGACTCCAAATTTTTAGGACCAAAGACCCTCATCCACTTCCAAATCCTCAATTTTTAGGACCAGAGAAAAACCCTTAATCAGGTGCGAAATTTGAATTTTTAAGACCAGAAAAACCCCTTTAACCACATCCAAATCCTCAATTTCCACGACCAATTTAACTCCAAATTTTTAGGACCAAAGACCCTCATCCACATCTAAATCCTCAATTTTTAGGACCAATTTCCCTCCCAATTTCCAGGAGCGGAGAAATCCCTTCCCCACAGCCCAAACTTCACCTTTGGAGCCGCGGGACCCCCCGGTGCCGCCCCCAGACTCACCTTGGCCACCTGCACGCACCAGTTGAGGAGCAGCTGGGGGCTGATGGAGCCGCGGTTCTTGCGCAGGTGCTCGAGCAGCGAGCCCAGGGGCAGCAGCTGCGTCACCAGCTGGAGCTGCGGGCCCGGGCAGATCCCCAGCAGCCGCACGATGTACGAGTGCTCCAGGCTGCCGATGGCCAGCATGTGCTGAGGACATGGGGGACACCCTGAGTGACCCCTGAGTGACCCC